ATATATAAAAAGAAAAAAGAAAAAAAAAATAATTGAATTATAAGATATGCTATGCAATAGTCTTGTGAATAACCCCAATAAAATTGCAAAGTGATGATAGAGATTAAGCATTAAAAGAAAAAAAATCCAAACAATAATATGAAAACAAGAAAAGAGTCTGATGCATACATCACCCTTAATGTGGATGCTATTTACGACAATCCGAGCTGTTCCCATTAACGGCATAGCCAACTTGGCAAACAACATGATATATATGTCATCAGTGTCCCAGTCAAATCCCAAGCGCATGATCCGCTGTTTTCATATGGAAGTGTCATATTATACTTTTTTCGCCAGCCGAAGAAGATAAAAAAAGGGGAATTAGACCGCAGAGGATCATTTTCAAATAACCTAATTAAAGCATTTTGATGATTGATCACTATAATTAAATGACTACACTGATTAGGTAAATAAAGAGGACACTTAACAAATCACAATAATCATTATTTTGAATCATTTGAAATTTGTGCTATGGATGAAGAGTAGGACTTGTTAGTTCTATCACCATCATGACGAATTGCAATTGCTGCACCATTTTCTAGTCTTTTATCAACCTGTGGCTCAGAATAATATTAGAAATCAGAAATTATTTTAGGGACAATTGCCAATTGGGAATCAGAGCTATATGAACGTAAACTTTCTGAAGTATATTAGTAAGCATAAAAAAGTGAGCACCAACAGGTGTAATAAAAGAAAATGATCTGATAAGTCTGCATATATTTGTATAAAATATCAGTCCTTAAAACCAATAAAAAGCACACAGTAGACACAAAAATGGTATTTCTGTTTTATATATCGTATGCATTTAAACTCAAATAGCATCTCAAATATTACTTAGCACCAACCACACATTTTCAATGTTTAAACAAATTTCTTCTAACATGCAAGTATATGGACAATAATTAAACATTCTTACGGGTAAAAAACAGCTCAAGTTTATATCTTAATAATACCACCGATTAGTTTCTTAAACTGTCCTAAATTATCACCATTCCCAGATGATAATAGTGGCTAAAAATCATATAAGAAATAGTCTAAATTGCATAGTCTATAAGAAGTAACAGCAGGATTTTACGAGATTTCCACAGTAGACATGGAGCAATAATTTCAAATCTTCTAAGTTAAAAAGGTTAATCAAATTAAAAAGGTTAATCAAAACCTGATCCCCGGAAGTCGACCATCGGGTCCCATGTAGCCCAAATAAAGGTGGACGTGAACCAAGAGAAAACTCTTGTAACTCAATCTTTTCCTACAGAAGAAAGTACCATCACATGAAATTACTATCTCTTGATAATTCAGCAGTTAATTGCATGCAGTAATGGCTAAAAATCAAGAAACCTGACTTACTATTAGCTTTGACTTCCTATGCTTCAAGCGCCTCTGCATGATTATTAGACGTGAATAAGTAACAAAACAATACCAGCTTATTGCATTGAACATTTCATACTAGCACAAACTATTTGAAATTTTAATAAAGATGATACAATTTGAGAGAAGAGAATAAGTACAACCTTAAAACTAAGCTGATATTACATTGGTGAGTGAAATAGACTTGGAAAATAGGTTGGAGTAAATGAAAATTAACTCAATACCAAATAAGTCGAAGTAATTGAAAAACATTTCTTTAAATCTAGAATGTCAAACATGTTGGAAATGAGATGGTAGTCGACTTTATTAAGAACAAACATGAATCATATCAAAATAAAATAAATAGTAGACCAATTTCTATGAACCAAATCATTTACACTATCTTCGCAATTGTTGGATGCATATGCTATCTATAAGGGTTCTGGGTTTTTCTTTACACTTCATATCATGGTATATGTTGAAATACCCAATTATAAAAAGGGAAAAAATATAATGATTACCTCAACGATAGATGCAAACCTTAATGAGAGCTTTGGGTTGATATAGTTCGACCAAATTTCAATTAATAGCTTGTTCAGCCATTCACAATGCTCTAAAGGTGTTACCGGCTGCATAAATATTTGAAGGGAGAAAACTGTGATATAAAAATAGCAGGTTGACAAATAAACACTTGCACACGCACACAAAATCAGAAAATGATACGCATAAACATATTCTTGAATTAAAGAACAAAATAAGGAGAAGGAAAAAAGGATAGTAACCGAGTTCTGTAGTGTAAACTGCATCCATTTCTTATTCAAGTCTTCCACTACATTTCGCCTCTGATAACTTCCATACTGACAAAGAAAAGTACAGGGTCATTAAACGTTAAAGGCATCTAAATCCTGAACCAGTTAGTGAATATTTTGCACAAACCAATGAACCAAAATATGTGAGCATATCAAAACTTGAACAAGACTTGGATAACAATGTTACATGGAGATGAAACTGTAAGACGGAGTTACGTTTCCACGAAATATCTATACCGCCGGCCTGCTTAACCAAATTATGCATATCAGAGTTGATTAAATCAACAGAGTTACGTTTCTATGAAATATCCATATCGCCGGCCTGTTTAACCAAATTATGCATATCAGAGTTGATTAAATCTTGAGGAGAACACAAAAAAAAAAAAAA